GAAAACACAGAGAGATGCTGGAATTAAGTTTCAATTTGAACTGAGGCACTTTCCCAATCCTTGCAATTGTCAGAAAGAAACTCTACAGTTTCCTCTAAACAAAGTCAACAGGTTTATTTTCTTTATATCTTTAATTTTCACTCTATTTTTGGTATTCTTTTTATCTTCTTGCTATCTTTCTCTCTCATCACACGAATTCTTGTTTAGAAGCTGCATGAAAGAGCCAGTAGGCACAGGGTTAAAATTTGGAGTATATTCACTGGCTTGCACTTAATTTCTAAGGTAATAGGGTATTATCCTATATGCTGGGATTATTATTCCCGTCAGAATCCCCTGCCTGGTGCTTTTGCCTGCAGCTGACAGCAGCTAGTAGAGCAACAAAGTTGCTGTTTCCAGCTGCGGGCAAGAATTGCATGTTCTTCAACAGAATAATTTTTATAGACACATTCTGCACTGTTTCTGGTCATTTGTGCTGTCTGATGGGACTTCACTGGGAAATCTGCCTCCGCCTTTGAAAGGCAGAACATGATGTAAAGACCAAGTTGATACTCTAATTGGTTTATGACTCTTTCTGTCTCCATAAAATGAGTGTTATCTCTGTATGGGCTACCATAAAATTTAATAATATCCATCTGGTGTTCTGAGGATGCTTTATATCACATAAAATACTGCTTATATGAAGTAACTGTCTTAACTTACTCTGCAGGAACCCTGGCAAAACAGTATGATGGGCAGTATTTCAATAAATGGGTTTGAAATAATTACCAGAAAGTAAAATAAAGACTGAAAATGAAAGACAAATTTATAGGAATTGATTACTTGATCTCTTATGGGTTTCTATCTTAGAGAAATTATTCTCCTGGCAAAATGTCCACTGAAAAAAAAAAAGGATATTAGGAGATCTCTTTCTTTCCCTGCATGTGTAAAGATGTATTTCTGAGCAATTATACTGACAGTGCAGACCTTTATGTTTCTCCATAATTTGGCTTTTTCCTGTGTCCTTTCAGTGCCTTTGCTGAGGTGTGATCCTCTACTATCTTGATCAACAACACAGTTTAAAATGCTTTGTATTTCTGTACGTAAGAATTTCAGTGCCGGGACCATCACAAGTACTGATGCATCACACATCTAACAGAACCAAGAAATCAGATCAAATATTGTATTACAGGATTTGAGAGCAGAGAAAGGGCTTGCCCTGTGCTGAACTTTCAAAGAAAAGTGTACTTACTGAACACACTTCCTTTGTTTATTTTGCTGCTTTGCATTTCTAAAATGTCAGAGTGATGTGTCCCAAGTTCTTAAATCTCGAGTGTGGCTATCAGTCCTAAAGCCCTGTTTTGGTAATGGGGGTAGGATTAGAACCTGTTACATCTAAGTAACCTGTGATCCTTCAAAATCCAATGTAATGTTTCATTTCCAGCATATGGGATCTTCTCCAAATTTCTGAGAAGATTGTATTACGTACRGAAACCAGATTTCTGACTTCTTAATACTGAGAACCTCTGCAAGATTCTTAAAAAAAGCTAACTTATCTGGCGACTCAGTTTCCAAGAAATAGCACTTGTTGCTTGTCTTCAACTGCCTGTGGCAGGGAAAGGCAACTATTCTCATTTCATCTCACTCCAGACGCTGCTTTGGGTAGTGGAAAAACATTCCAGTATTGCTACTCTAGGCAAGACTTCTGGCAGGGCAATGATTTTAGTGCACACTCCCTTCTAGTTATATTTCACCAAAAACAAACAAAGCACAGAACATGCAAAAAAACCCAAACAAACAAAACACCTCACAAAAAACCCACAAAACCCCCCTAAACCAAATCAAACAAAAAAACCCAAAAAAACAAAAACAACAAAAAACCACAAAAAAAAAAAAAAAAAAAAAACCAAAAAAAAACCCCACAAAAACTCCAACCCAGCCAAAAAAAAACCCCAAGAACAAAAAAATAAAACCTTACAAAAAATGAACAAAACCCCACAACCAAGCAACCAAGAAAAAAACAAAACCAAACAAAGAAAAAGAAGCAATCCAAATCCTGTGGTCTCTGGCTCTTTCACTGCTGTGATTTTTCAGACAGTGCTACTAAATATGGCAACTCGACTATATTTTTCCATGACAGATAGGAAAAAACAAAATGCACTTTCCCCTCTTGACTTTTTGTAACAAGTCAAGAAGGGAGTGGGAGAAGTGTTGAAGAAAAACACCTCCATACAGGTGCTTTCCTTGTAGGACATTAGTTCTCATCATATTTGTCTAAACATTAACAGAGAATCATTTAATAATTGGAAGAAACAGATTCAGGAGCAATTTCATTGGCTTGCCTCTGCAGTTAAATTAGCTCATGTAGAGCTAAAGATAGAAAATCCAGCCCCATGTGACTTAGTAAATGATCAGTGCACAGCCTTCCATGGAAGGYTGAAACCAGGATTGTGATTTCGGGGGGATCCCACACACAGTCTGATAATTGAAGGCAGCTCTGTAGGCCAGTGAGATGGAGCATACTCAGTATCAGTTTAATTTGCTGTGGTGACAGCCCCATAGAGAAAATGAAATCAAAAGGAAATCTTTCCATTCAATTTCTAAAGCAATTTTGCCACAATTTGTGGGTGTTTTTTTCATTGTTTTGGCTTGGTTTTTTTTTTGGAGGGGTAGAAGGTGTTCAGGTTTTTTTAAATAAAACATTTTTTCTGATTTTTTTCTGACTCTCCTAATGCTATTTGTATTGCTTATGCTATCTTCCTTCTTCTGAATGTCTTTGCATCATTCATGAAATAGTCTCAAATGATGTCTACATGATAATTTTGTTAACCTACTTTGTGTAACCACTCTGGCAGGATAATTCCCCCTGTTTTGAACTGTGGAGTTTTCAGATGATCATGATGTCTTTATCTAATTCAATGTCTTAATAAGATGACGCTGTCAACATGAGGGTGGAGAAAATAGTTCATTAATATCCTTTAGATCTAGTCCTTTAAATCTTAGATTGGGAAAGAAATCACATGAAGCAGGAATACTGTGATGTTCACATAGTTGTTTTTGAAGGTTGCTGGAATTCTTTATTTCAGAGCATGGAAATTTTACACTTTTTGGCTAAAACTGTATATTGTTTTAAAGAAACACTCTAACTTCAATCTGGACTAAAAATATGGCAAATAAATAGTAACATCCCTTGCTTTCAAACTAAATGAAACAACTGTCCTACTTGCTGCCTCATTATATTTAACTTTTGGGATGTACATACAGGGTTATTCCTAAGAACATCTTTCAGAAGAATTTTCAAAACAAATTACGAGAGTGTATCTCCTCTCAATTACTTGCAGGCATCAGACTGGTTTGCCAGTGTGGGTGCTACACCAAAAGGACAGTAGCTCTTACCAAAACATCAGCTAATGCACACGCCAGCCATCTCTGTGAAACACCAGCACTGGCTGTGCAGCTCATTCTTTGTCAGTCTAGCATGCTGCTAGTGTCCAAAATGCTTAGGAAGAGGCTGTTTCCTGTCAGTAATTAATTTTTGAGGGACATGATCATTAATTCAGAATATTATTAGCTTCTGGACAGAAAAAAAAAAAAAAACCAAACAGTTAAGTCATTTACAAAGGGATAATCTTTGCTTCTATCCTTTGTTCATCAAAACACATGAAATCAGCCCCTTTCTGACAAATGCTGGATGGACAATGTAGATGAGTGATCTGTGCTTAGTTAGGAAGCCTGACAGCCACAAAATATGTATAGGTTTTTCCTGCAAAACTTGCACTCAGCAGTAGGAATTTACCAGCTGTGTTAGAGCAACTTTTCATTGCACACTTACCAATTTATTTCTCCTCCTGTACCTAGAAGTATTTAGTTTGCCAATTGGTTACCTCTTTAGTAACATGCAAGAGCCATGGAAAACATATTAATCGGGAAAGAGCAAACACATGTCTTCTTTTCCTCTGTTTATCCTTAGAAAATTACCAATATTTTGTTCCCAGAAGCATGCAAAGGTTATAAAGGAGCAGTGTGTGTGGATTGTTTTTATCTGCATTTAGCTGGCTTGGAGCTATTTCTTCCTCTCTCTGTGATCTTGAAAGGGAAAAGGTTTCAAAACTTCTGAATACTCCTTGAAGGCTTCATGAGATTCTTGATTTTTGTTATTCACTTTAAGAGGCCAAAGAGTGCAGAAAGGAAGTATCTCAGGTGGGAGGAAGGCCTAAAATAATCCATTTAACTTCCATTTACACTGGGAGGAACAAGAGTCTGTTAGCTAAGACTTATCCTGTAAGACAATGATTCAGGGACAGAGCAATGCCCCTTGAAGTTCACCTTGTAAGCGTGAGACTTCCTTGGAGCATGAAATGAATTGGAACAGAGAGACGTATTCTGAGTGTCTCCATTACCACAGCGCCAAGAAATGTAAACCACAAATCTGTCATCTTCCCCCCTCCCCCTGATGCAGAGCTCCTTCAAATTAGGACAATAAAAAATAAACCACTTTACAGAATTAAAAAATATGCTTAAAATAAATAAAGGGAGTGAAGGGAGCTTACTGGAAGCTTAGGTGCCAATCACAGATTTATTCAAATCCTGACTTTTTGTCAGTTTGTGGAATTCATCCCATTTAATTTCTGAAACTCCAACATCCATTTAAAATTAAAATGTCAGATTCTTCCCTGATTTGCCACAAGTTCTACTTTAATGATTTTGCAAAGACATAAAAGTTGGGACAAAACTTTATTCAATATGGTTTGCTCCATAACATAATATATAGTTATGTGACGTATTACTGTGAACACCAGTCTTCCTCCAAMTAAAACACATACCACATTTTCAATAACTTTTGTGCTGAGTCTTTTAAGCAGTGAAATTTCTTATGGCATTTATGATTTTTATTTTTTTTTAACATTCCTGCAAATGTCAGTGGCTGTTAACATCTGAATCAAACAGTTCCCAGCTCATGTGACTGGAAATGGTGCCCAGAGCAAAAAGCCAGACATCCTGACTCTTGTATAAGTATAGTCTGTGTGGAAATGTTTCAACTGAGCAGAAGTTGCTGAGTCCACATCAGAACACATTCTGGCAGAAAACAAGGTAAGTCTGCATTATGACCACTTTATTATCATTATTACCTTTATTAAAGGTATGATTGGGAAATAAATGGTCTAAGATCTGAAGAAAAACACAATGATCTGCTAAATAAGATTCTGTCTGGACACAAGACTAAGTGGCTCACATGTTACTGGCAGTATCTGAAACTTTTCTAGGATTATTTTGGAATTATCTCACAGGATGGAAGGCTGAATTTGGGGTTTTAACTTATAGCCACTCCAGGGAGCAATTCTGAACAGCCTTAGACTCTTAAGAGGTTTTTCACCTTTTAAGTAGAAGGAATGCCATGCAGCAACCAGCTGTGCATAAGGGTAAAGGGCATTTTCAGCAATGAAGACTGAAAGAGATAAACTGAACTCTATGCACATGTGAATGAGATTTATTTGGAGCATCGCATGGGTGGTATCAAAGACAGAAAACTGTGCCAGTCAGAGACAGCTGGACCAGGAGCAGCTGTAGACTTGCACTTGCATTTGCCTACAAAGGTGTTAATGTAGCTAAATATATTTAAGATATAACACTTGACATATGCATATACTTTCAAAGAAATTGGAAGGTCTAAAAGTATAGCAGAAAATTTATAACTGAATTCTTAACTCCCTATGAAGCTCCCAGTCTAAGAAAGAAAACCTTTTTTTGTTGTTGATGTTCAGGCTGCCCATATAACACAAAATAACTTGTATTTATGGGACCCAGGCTGCCTGACCGAATGGATGGATTTTTTGGGTGTTTTTTTCCTTTTCTTTCATCAAAAGAGTTTTTTTCTGCATGTCTTCAAGAGGAGGTATAGTAAGGGTAAACAAAGAAAAATAGGTGTCAATAAATTTGACAAAGGAGACACCTATAATATTTCCAAATTAGACTTGGTATAGTGTCAAAGTGCTTGTGTTTGTCCTATCAATGCTGGATTTTGATTTTGATTTGAAGACAAATCCTCAAAGAAAAACATGATGAGTGTGTTAAATAAATAAATAGCAGATAATGATGTGTTAGAGCAACTTACGTTCAGTCTTCTAAGATCTGCAAGTCTTTTCTCTGAGCTGGATTGTTATCATTATTTTACCATTTTTAACTGATAAAAAGTTATGAGCTATCTAGAGATTCTGAAAGAGAAGTGGGAAATCTTACCACAAACAAAAAGCTATGTGTTTAAAAAAAACTACCAAGTACGTGGCTTAGTATATCAKACCTGGTTTATCTGGTTTGAAATGATAAATAAGGTAGCAATATAAACCCAGTTTCTGTGGATATTTCTTTAGCAGAAGAAACAGTCTAAAATATGTGCAAAACCCCACAAACTGTTGAAATAACTAATAAGTCATACAAATAAAATTACATCTGTGTGCCTGTAGAAACCAGATGCACTCAAGAGTGCAGAAGAATTAAAAAGCATCTTGAATTTGAAGTTTTGTAAAGACATTTTTCAACAGAAAAAAACTGAGATTTAATGTTCCTTCATGCAGTCTTTATACAAATGAGTCTATAACAGAAAAATCTAGATGTGCCAGGTATTAGGACATTTAAGTGGTGAGAACTTATTTTAGATAGGTCTGAAATAGTCTTGGAATCAATTCCAGTTTATGAAATTTGTGATGTTTACAAAATGTCTGCAAGATTTCTCAGTCTTAGTCATCAGATAACAACAACTCAAAATACCCCAAAACCCAGCAGTTTTCATCATCATACTGCACATATACAATGATTTTTATTATTTATCTGAACATGTACTCATGACCTGGATCAAACCTCCTTTATTTTTCTTTTTTTTTTTTAATTCATTTTGCAGCATAAGAACGGAATCCTTTATTACGTATGAAGTCAACAAATATTTACACATTCAAAATTTTAATCTTTACCTATATTAGATTCTTTATGATGTCTTCACACACGTACATAAGAAAATCCAGTTTCTTTCCAGTGCTTTAATCATTTCATTCTGATCTGGAGGTTTCTCTGCTTCATGCAACAGCCTGGGCCTTTAGTATCTTTTCTGTCTGAACTTACGACTTTCTTCAAAGTTATACTCTGTGGAGCAGCAGTTTATATGCAGGCTATATTTCAATGGAGAGTTTAAATTTGCATTCTCTAAATCTGCCTTTATATATACTCATTACAAATATTTCAAGGCTCTCTTCTCTGCACTTATTTTCATGTAAAATCAGAAGACAATGTGGAATGAAGCATAATCAAAAAAGAATAAGAATAACTCACAGCAGACACTGTCATTAGAGGAATTTTTAAGTAACTTGACATTCCATCTCTTTGAAATGTAAGCTATACTGCATGCTAATATTTGCGTAAGAAATAGTTTTCTAGGTCATGAACAAGGTATTTCTGTCTTTAATCTGTATGCCTTCCTCAGAAAAGACTGGGCAGGATCTATTTATTTCAAGCTACAACAAGAATTTCAAGGGTTCTAGGACACAGCTGGAGCAGACCCTAACTGAGGGATCAAGGCAGCTGTATCAAGATACATGTATATTCATAAATAAAGATTACTTTGGTGTGGGTTTTGCCTTAAGGTTTTCCTGAAATCTTCCCTGTAGTTAGGGCGTTAATTGGCAACAAATCAGCTTATTAATACTTGATTTGGGCTAGTGCCATTTTAAGGATCTGTGACTGTGCTGAGGACTATAGGAGTTGAATTAAAAATTTACATCTGTTGTGCTTTCCATATCTTTAAAASCAATTATTATATGTATGGAAATTGTCTGATTTCTATTATCTGAAAAAAATTTACAACCTGCATACTGCTAAACGGATGTTTATTCACTGCTATTTCCAATAGAATTATTCCTTCTTCTGCAGACAACCTTGAGAACTGTGGTTTAGTGGAAAGCCATCTGATTTCCCCTCTGGGACACAGCTGGATTTCCACATCAGAGGGAGTGATGTCAGACTCTTAACAGAAACTTTGGACTGCTTAGAAGCCTGTTATGGCACTTGAGATATTTTTTATTAACGTTGAATTAGAAGGAACAGAAGAAGTTTATTTGTGTCCAATCAGATATTGACATGATAATGGAAGAAAAACCACTATGTCATGAGTAGTTCCTAATGGGAGTGAAAAACAGTAAGTTCAGCGGAGTGGAACACAAAGAAGGCGGTATCTGTAAATATTCTGTCAAATTTTCTCCTTGTTCCTCAGACTGATGTAAGATACTTATCTGGCAAGATTAAAATAAGGTGTATTTACTAATATTCCACATTTCTGCTTTATCCGGAATCACCTTGTGTCCCAATGTAATTTAAAAAAAAATAAATGAGAAAAAGAAAGAAGAAATCAAAATCCCTGACAAAAAAAAAAAATCACCAAGCAGACTCCATAAAAGCCCAAACCTTGTCTTCTGCTACACTTACATGGTGCTTAGTACACAGGGAGTTCTTGAATTATAGTAGAGTCTAATGTCAATATTTGACCTGTCATGAGAGCTTCCTTGTCTTTTGAATACTCACATTGGGCTACAGTGTCTTGCCACAAAAGCAGCACTGGTAACATAAAGGGTTGGAAATAAAACTTAGTACATCAACATGAGTAATTTTATGCCTCTGCAATTGAGCACCTGAAGTACAGCACTTTGGTATCAGTGAGGCAGTAAAGGTTGTCTTTGTTTTTTCAGAGCTTAAGAATTCATATATTTGGATGAAATGCAAATGTGAGGCTGATGTCTACACCCACAGCTAAGGCACTCAGAGTTCATCCCTTATGATGTATTACGGGAAAGACTGATCTCCCATCTGTCTTTAGTTTCCCTTTTTCAATTCTCTCTTTAATTTCCTTCACTTCCTTATAACACTACATTGTGATTGAGCATTTCATGTTATATTCATCCCATGTCAGTGACACATATGCTCTGTGCTGTTCTGAGACTTTCTGTGGCTTATTGTCCTTTGATTTGAAGGTGCTGACAGATTTAGCGCTTTCTTCTCCCACTCTACATGTACTGGCTCTACACATCAAACGACCGCTTAATTTTACTAGGTCAAGATGTCTATCCTTTCCACATTGAGAATCTATTTCTAGTTTATGTTTTCTGGAAGGTTGCTGATATTTGTCCATCAAATACCTCTTCGCTGCACTGTGGTGCAAGAGTGAAAGCAGTGAAAGGGGGGGGGGAGAGAATAACTGTAATTGAGTTAATGAGGTTATCCATGTGAGTCTGCTTAGACTGTCAGCGCTCCAGAGTAGGAGGAGCACACTTGTAGCACTTTGCTTAGTGTTTGATGCAACTGGTCCCACATTTGACTGACACATCTGTGAGCTCAAAACACAGCTAACGTGACAGCAACAACACCCTGAACAAGGTGTTCAGCACAAGACTGTTTGGAGTTGTGAGACTCAACTAAAACCAACCAACCCCCTTATCAAAGGACATTCGTTAATCTGAATGACAGACTTGGGAAATTAAATTTCCTATTTCTTACACTTACAGTGTTTCCTAAAACATTTTTCTATACTGACCACTGCTAGCAGTTTGATGTTGCAACAGATGTATCTCCAGTCTAAGTACAATTTTTTTTTTACTTTTTCAGGTAATATATTCTGAAATATTTCAGTATATGTGGATATTGGGAAGATTTCTGATGCAGAAGCAACTAAAGTGCCAGATGATAATGGGAATATCCTATTTAAAAGTCACAAGTCTTCTCATTAATTTATTTTTCTCTTTCTTTAGGCTATGCTAAGGTAGCCTAACACTATTTTAGTAAAGCAAACAAATCCCGTAGTAACACCCCAGGCAAGGCTAAGCTGGCTCAGAGAAGACCATCAGAATTTTGTTAATTGAATGTTTAATCTTTTTTCCCCAGGTGATGTTTTTTCTTCAGTGCTGAGTATGATATAAAAAAAAAAAATTGAAAGGTAAGACTACTTAGGGCATCATTTTCCCCTCTTATTGTAAACACAAACAAAAAGATGAGCTGCACTATGGACAGTTCACACAAAGTCTCTTTAAGCTTAATTTGGGACTGTTGCTGAGTAT